CTGGGTGTTGGCTCTGGGTGTTGGGTCTAGACGTTGGTTCTGGGTGTTGGTTCTGGGTGTTGGGTCTAGGTGTTGGTTCTGGGTGTTGGGTCTAGGTGTTGGTTCTGGGTGTTGGGTCTAGGTGTTGGTTCTGGGTGTTGGGTCTAGACGTTGGTTCTGGGTGTTGGGTCTAGGTGTTGGGTCTAGACGTTGGTTCTGGGTGTTGGCTCTGGGTGTTGGGTCTAGACGTTGGTTCTGGGTGTTGGTTCTGGATGTGCAGAGCTACAAGCTGCTTTATGGTGTCTTTGTGGTGAAAACATTCATTTAGAGGAACTTTGTGGCTCGATGGAACATTTTGGTCTTTAAAGGACCGGTAACTAAGAGTCTGTTGGACCCGTTGGATCAGTAGATGTGATAGAACTGTTCTGTCTGAGTCGCCACATTTCACGGCTGCTAGTTCTACTTCTGAAGAGATCGAACCCTTAACATGGCTTCACAGGTTTTTGGGTTTTTGGTGTTTTTTGCACAAGTTCTGTCTGAAAACCAAACAATTTTGGGTCCCAGATAAACAAACTGAACCCGACCTGAGAAGTCTGCAGTGACCCAGTGGGACCAAACACTGGGGTTCCTCTTCAGTGATGTTTCTTCAGATGGAACCGACTCGTTCCTTCTGACAGCAGCATGGACTTTACCACAGTGGGCCTAACTTTCCACAGTCGGTCTGAGCTGCTGCGTTGCTGCTTCTCCTCCAGATGTTGTCGTTGGATTCGTAGACGTCCGATTACATCCCATAATGTTCCTGAAACTGATCGGCAACACTTAGACCTCTAATGAGGTCGTTTGTCCATTCGTCTGTCTTGTGTAGTTTTCATTTGTTGACCAACACATGGAGGAAGCTCCATCAACAACACGCCGCCGAACACTTCCTGTTGTGCTGATGGAAGTCTGGCTGCTGCGTTGCTGTGTGGACATGATGGAGAGCAGGCGGCTCCAGCAGCAGCATGCCCTGTATTCATGGAGCTTCCTGCCATTATGGCGCCGCCGGACGCGAAGCCGGGCCAGAACCGGCCTCTTTATGTTGTTCATGTGGAGCCGGACAGAATCCACAAGCAGCCGGCTGTCGGTTCAGAACACAGGTGGAGCAAAACCCTCGTTAGATAAACAGGGTTCTCACTGGTTCCTCTGGTTCCTCTGGTTATCGTAGGTTTAAAATGTGGAGGTTAAAATGTGTGATGGAGATATAAGTCATTAGAAACAGACAAACCTGACGTCTAGTCTAGTAATGCAGGTTTAATCGGTTTCTTTATTAACAGCCTCCGTGTGTCTCCTCAGGTGTCGGCCACCTTCGCCGCCAGCCTGGTCACCAGCCCGGCCATCGGCGCCTATCTGTCGGCGCAGTACGGTGACAGCCTGGTGGTCCTGGTCGCCACGGTGATCGCGGTGGCCGACATCGCCTTCGTGTTCTTCGTCGTCCCCGAGTCGCTGCCGGACAAGATGAGGCTGACGTCCTGGGGCTTCCCCATCTCCTGGGAGCAGGCCGACCCCTTCGCCGTGAGTTCACGCCGAACATCACCGACTGACTGACTGACTGACTGACTGACTGACTGACTAATTGGCTGATTGATTGATTGATTGGCTGATTGATTGACTACCAGGCGTACTGAGGACTGTGTTGTGTGTTCAGTCTCTGCGTCGGGTTGGAAAAGACACCACGGTGCTGCTGATCTGTGTCACGGTGTTCCTGTCCTACCTGCCCGAGGCCGGACAGTACTCCAGCTTCTTCCTCTACCTGAGACAGGTAACACACACACACACACACACACACACACACACACACACACAACCACCACAGTGAAACCTCACTGACAAACAGAGACAGAGTAGCTGCAGAGATGTGAAGCTACAGACAGCCGGTCGATAATGTTTCACTGATTAGGATCAATGCAGGAGTTCAATCACAGCTTCATCACCTGTAGATGTGCAGCTCTCTGGTGCTGATGAGTGTCAGCTGATGACAGCGAACCCAGAGCTGTCAGAACCGAGTCTTTGTCAGCAGCAGTTTCTTCATGAACCCTCGCTTGTGTTCCAGGTGATCGAGTTTTCTCCGGCGGCCATCGCTGCCTTCATCGCCATGGTGGGGATCCTCTCCATAGTCGCTCAGGTACGGCCCGACCGTCCTGACGAGTCATTACAGTCTCTGTTCTGGGAAGCAGAACCGCTGCAGGACGGGTCACTGCTGCTGCTCTGTAGATGTAGAGATTTGTTATGGGATGCTGTGGATGTGTTTCCTCATCGTGTGTCTGTGTGTGTCTGTGTGTGTGTGTCTGTGTGTTTCAGACTCTGTTCCTCAGCGTTCTCATGAGAACCATCGGGAACAAGAACACGGTTCTGCTGGGCCTGGGCTTCCAGCTCTTCCAGCTGGCCTGGTATGGCTTCGGCTCCGAGCCCTGGTGAGAGCTCCGTCCTCTGCACCGTGTACAGGTAGAGCAGGTGGTGGAGCTCTGTGGTTCACTGTTGTGTCCTCGTCCTGCAGGATGATGTGGGCGGCAGGAACCGTGGCAGCCATGTCCTCCATCACCTTCCCAGCAGTCTCTGCTCTGGTGTCGCACAGCGCCTCACCTGACCAGCAAGGTGAGCTCACCTGGAGGACGGACTCTCCTCCCTGACACAGCAGTGTTCTCCTCCTCAGGCAGTGTGTATGTGAAAGCTCCATCTGGGTCTCCTCAGACCAGAGTCTCCACGTGTCTCCTGCTGGACTCTGGGCCTCCAGAACCACCACCTCGTTGTCTTTAAACCGTCCCTGTAAACCGAGCGTCAGCTTAAATCCCCGCTACCTGTTGTTGACGTGTGTGTCTCCTGGTGGTGTCCAGGTGTGGTCCAGGGGATGATCACCGGCATCAGAGGTCTGTGCAACGGTCTGGGCCCGGCTCTGTACGGCTTCATCTTCTTCCTCTTCAACGTGGAGCTGAACGACATGGAGCCGGTGGCGGGAAGAACCGCGGACACCGAGGTACCCGACGTTAAAACAGTACCGACGTTGGCGTGTTGTCAGATCGATGTGCTTTGATTCAGCTCATCAGAGTTTTAGTCGGAGCGTCACGGCAAACGAGACGTTTAGAATAAAACGGGTTGAGTTTAGTTTCTGGCTGACGATACAGCCATGAGAGCAGCATGTACAGTCATCCTGCTTCTGTCTCCTGATGCTCCGGATGGGCGTCGGCCAGGCTACAGGTCACAGACGTCCACGTCCTGGAGTCTCCACATGATCAGGAGACGTTCAGGAGCTTCTGGTGAACGCAGCAAAGTCTGGAGATCAGTGACCAGAGTCAGGATTGGTTCAAAAATCACACATCAGGTGGATTTTCAAAAAATTATGAGAACGTATCTGTAACACATGGAATCTGTTTGATCTAGTTTATGGTGAGAAGAACACCTGGATGACTTCACTGGTGCTCAGAACGCTTCAGTAGGAAAGGGAGTTACGGCCAATCAGAGCAGACGCAGGTAGAAGAGGAAGTAACTCCCAAACAGCCAGTCTGGAGTCATGGGCAGGCTGATGGAGGTTAGGGCAGGAAGAGACAGAAGATCATCTGCTGGTGAGCCGAGTTTCAACATCCATCCATCCATGTCTTCATGCTGCTGATCAGCTCCAACCCTCGCCACCGCTTCCCGTTTATCAATAATAACAATAATAATAATAATAATAATAGGAGCAGAATGATGTTGGAACTGTCCAGTCCTTCCACAATCCACTTGATTTGTGATTTTTGAACCAATCCTGAATCTGGGAGGTCTTGAGCAACAAACTTGATCTCCAGACTTTGCTGCGTTCACCAGAAGCTCCTGAACATCTCCTGAACACGTGGAGCCTCCAGGACGGGTACTTCAGGAGGTCGTCTGTCAGTGGCGTCTGATCAGCGATTCATTCAATTCTGATGTTGGGTTCAGATGCCACAGAGAGACGGGATGACCCAGACGTTGACCCACCATGTGAAGAATGATGGAATCTCGTCGTAAACGTCAGCGGCAGCAGAAACACGTGTGTTGATTTGATCTGTTTCTCTTCCTGTAGAAGTCGGTCATCCCGGGTCCTCCCTTCCTGTTCGGAGCCTGCGCCGTCGTATTCGCCCTGCTGGTGGCCATCTTCATCCCCGAGCACCACCGATTGGCCGACGTCAAGTCCTGCTCCGCCCACAAGGCTGGCGGTTCCTCCTCGTCCGCTCAGAACGCCAGCCCACTGGCCACGCCCACCAGCGACGCCGAGGACATTGAGCCGTTACTGCAGGACAGCCGCATGTGATGGCTGACCAATCGCAGCGCTGCGCCCTCTCTGCAGGCCCCGCCCTCCCTGCAGGCCCCGCCTCCTCCCCGTGGGGGCGTTTGTTTAGTTCTACCTGCGGCAGCCACACTGACGGGTTTAGTTTAGACGGGCTTCATCAGGAGGTTCTCTCTTAAATTAGCAGAACTGTTTACGTGTTGGTAGAACTTCACCGGTCGTTTCTACACCTGAAGCCATGTGTTGCACCTGCCCAGGTGTGCTGGGGCAGGTAGAACCAAAGGGCGTCTGTCAGTGACCATCTCAGTGGCCTCTTAGCACCAGTATGAACCACTCCCTGCTTTCTAACCGGCAGGGAGGCGGGACCAAACCGGCAGCGTCCCAGCTCATCACGCCGCCGTAGCGTTTCATCACCGCTCAAGCAAAACGCCAAACACTCTGGTTTGAGCTTCTCCCAGGAGACGGTGTGCTCCGTTCTGGTGGGTCCAGCAGCCTTTGGTTCTGCCTCTACCGCCACGTTTTGTAGCCGCTTTTGTATGAACTTCATTAATCAGAGTAAATGATGCTGATGAACCTGGACGAGCTGCTGCAGTCCACGTAGCCGTCGGCGTTTCTAGTCGTTCACCGTCTCCATCGTCTTGGTGTTTGTCATCAACGGAGCTGTTGATCCATCAGCCGCTCACCAACTGCTCTGATAAGAGATGAGGAGTCTTTTTAAAGAATACACGCAGCCGTCAGGAGCAGAACTCACTATGTTTGGACTGAACGGATCAACCCTCTGAACCCGGAGCTCACATCAGCTCACAAAGTCCTGCAGCTCGGTGGAACCAGAACAACCAGAAGACGTCTCTATTAGAGCGCCGTCAAGTGTTCAAACACATTCAGAGTTTATTTAATAAAATAAGTCAATCGACCTGGAATCCACGTGAGCCGCGGTTTTTAAAGTTGGACATTTTTAAATGAGTCTCCATCTGTAGTCGGGTCAGAACGTCTACAGAGGTTTGTCCCGTGAGGCGGTCGAGGCTTCCTGGTTCCACCGAGACGTTGAGATTTGGGTTTTTACAGAAACTAGTTTGAGGAAACTCTGAGACTTTATGAAATATCCCCCCAAAAAATTTTGATGAAATATTCCAGTTTTAAACTCAGATTTTTGTTTGATATGTTCAAGGACTGTTGGAAACCTGAGCGTTGTTTCTGCTCTTTAAAGAGGACTCGCTCTGCAGAGCCGCTGATGGTTCTGGGGTCCAGAGAGTTCATCACAAGTTCAACCGGAGTGACTTCAGCAGACCGATGGTAGAAACCGCCGGCAGCCTTCGCTCACGTTTTAGCGCTCAGTGGTTCTGGTCGGGCAGCCGGTCCGCCTCCAGAGGGACCTTCAACGTAAACACATCCGCTATCAGAACCGTCAGTCTGGTTGCCGCCTGAACTCCACCCATCAGGCCTGCAGAGGTCAGCGCATCAAACGCTCCTCACCCTCGATTGGCTGCACAGCTGAGGCCACCTGGAGGAGGACAGTGGGGGGGGGGGGGGGGGGGGGGCTGGTCACACTGAGCATGTGCGGCTCAGATGGATTGTGACGTCATCGTGTTTCCGCCTCCAGCAGACGGACCAGGTGAGGAAGAAGAACACCTCAGAGTTGATCCTCCGGTACCTTCAGTGTTTCTGTGGGTCAGGCTCATGAGCTGGACTCCAGGCCGGGTTTGGACTCCAGGCCGGGTTTGGACTCCAGGCCGGGTTTGGACTCCTGATCTCTACACGTGGGTTTATAAACTCCTCTCAGCGTGTTCTCTGTGATGTCCTGCAGAGGGCAGCAGACGCCCAGCAGTCCTCCCTTTCATCCACCGGATCAGTATCGGTTCCGTCTCCTCGTCTCTCCTCCTCGTGTCTGAACGCCGTCGGTGCCCCTCCCCTCCCCTCCCTGCTCGCCTGCCGTCCAGGTGGGCGAATGGAGCGCTCCCAGTTACTGACGGAACCACGCGGTGCCATGTTATTTGTTTCTGTCTGTTGTTTCTGCTTTTGTCTGTTTGTTAAACCCGAGACATTCCCGAAGAAACTAACCTGCTGCCGTGGCAACAGCCCGGGATGCTGTCTCCATGGCAACAGCAGTTTAGCTGGTTAAAGGTGAAATAATCAGTTTAAAAACAACTCTGAAGGTCTGCCGGTTACCGGGCTGGACCGCTCAGTTAGAAGCTCACGGTGGGTTGGGTTGGACTGGTTCTGCTGCAGAGTGGTTCTGACTCGCTGGAGCCGGCGCTGCTGGTCGTCCACAACAACCAGCTTCAGAACTTCTGCTTCTAGTTTCTGGTTCTGGCCTTCAGACTTGATCTCACTCAGCTTCTCCTGACCCACTGATCGGTTCAGTTCTCCTGTGGACCCCCTGAACCACCTGGAGCTCCTTAGGAACCAGGAGGACCAGGAGGAGGATCTGGCCGCAGGAACAGAACCTCCCACATCAGCAGCGTCGCAGCTCCAGAAGCAGCTGAGCAGGTAGACGAAGACGTTCAGGTCCATGAAGCCCGACCAGAAGATGGAGGACCAGACCTTCAGCCAGCTGGTTCTCTGAGTTCTGACTGAGTCCTGCTGCTGCTGCTGGAGGACAGACAGCTGCAGGGTGTTCTTCTACCGTCTGGACTCTGTGTGGCGCTGTGGTTCTGTCGGGCTTCACGTCTCACTGGAGCGTCTGCTGGTGATGCTTTCAGAGGCTCAAACGAACCAGAAACATCACATTCAGTAGTTTTAACGTTTTCTGGAGAATCCTGGATCCAGATCCAGTTCAGACGTTTGATTTAGTTCCACTGTTGGGCTTTTATTTTGGAATCATGGCTCCTTCCTGCTCTGACCTCACGTGGTTTCCAGTGGTTCTGCTCCGATTCGTCGCCGAGCAGCTGAAACGTGAGGCGGACGTTTTGCATCGCGGTGAGACGTGAAGCTCGAAGCTCCTGAGCTGCAGCGCTTCTGGACCGGTTCTGTCCGTCTGCGGGTTTGATTAGCCGCTGACTCCTACAGAACACACTCACACAGTCAGACCATGTCTCCAGATGTCTCCAGATGTCTCCAGATGTCTCCTCCCGACGCAGAACGTTTGCTGAACGCTGCACTTTACTTTCTCTGAACGTGCCTCGAACCACCTCCGTGTCCGTTGCGTCTGTTTTTCTATGAGACCAGGAGACGAGTTGCTTCCTGCATCCAGGACGTTGGTCCATCGTGTCTGTGAGAATCATGACGAGGAAAATAAAAGGATGGAGCTGGACTCGGTCTCTGGGTTTTGATTCATGGCTCAGTCTCAGAATCACTCGCAGGTTTAAAGTCGCGTCCTCCCACAGCGACGAAGTGAAACCGTGTTGTCAGCACGCTTTAGTTTCACTTTTTAGATTTTTCATTAACTTCCAAACATCTCAGGTGGAGATTAAATTAAATTAAACCAACGACAACATTCAGGGTGAAGGATCCACCGAGAAGCATCTGGGTTTAGAAAAGAGCTGCTTCAGACCACGTCAACAGACTTTTATTAAAGTTAGAGAACGTCAGACGAAGCTGCTGCAGGAAAATACAAAAATACAAACATCTGGAGAGCCTTACAGGAACGTTTTAGGAACATAGTCGCAGCTCAAACAACAAACAAACTGAATCTCTGACCAACAAACCGTCTGATGAGTCTTTAAACCTGTAAATCAGCAAACGTTCGGCTTCCTTCTTCATTTGGTCACAGCTTCACTCTTCAGCCTGATAAACCCAGAAACGTCCTCACATGACCTCTGATAATCACTCATCAATAATCACTCATCAATAATCACTCATCAGTAATCACTCATCAATAATCACTCATCAATAATCACTCATCAATAATCACTCATCACAGACCTGATGAAGGCGTGTCTGGAATGAATCAAAAAGCAAAAGATAATTTCCCGTAAATGAAACGATTCAGCAGCAATGTGTTGAAAACGTTGAAGAGACGTTTCAGAAAAAACCTTCAATCGTCATGAAATCTGTAGAAGAAGAAAAAAGACTTCCTGTCCAAAGACCGACCGTCACTTTGACTTCCTGTCAGTTTGTCTTGGTGAATTCAGTGAATCTTCTGGAAAGCTTTCACATAGTTTACTGACAGTCTGTAAATATTATTGTTATTATTATTATTGTTGTTATTATTATTATTATTATTATTAGCAGCTGTTGGTTGTTTTCAGAAAAGAGAAACTAAAGTGAAACTCGTTGAGTGACGTCAGGATCTCGTTAACACATCGTTTATTGTTTTTATTCATTTCATTGATGTTTTTTCTCCGTTTTCTTTATAATTTATTGGTTTTTGTTTTATTTTCTTTTTTTTATTGACGATTCTTTCGTTTGATTTTATGGCTGATTTTCTGAAAACATTAAATTTTTCCTTAATTAAAACATTTTATTAATAAACTCGACTGGACGTTAAACTAAATCAACAGCTGATTAGTTTTTCTCATTCGTTTCATCATAATTACATTAATTAAACTGAGTCTGCAGTGAGTTCACTGATTACAGACGAACTGACTGAACGCTTCATGAGGAAATCATTTAGATTTTTCAAAGTAAAACTAAAACGTGAGAAGAAACCGTCGTCCTGACGAATGTTTCCAAAGAATTAATTATTAATCAGTTTAATTTGATTAATTTCAGAAGAAACCTCCTGAAGTACCTCCTACTGAGATTTAAATTAGACATTAGCTATAAAATATACGTTTGTTCTGATGCTGACGTAAAACGAGTTGTGATGGTTTCCAGATTTCTAACCTTTCTCTACTTTTATTATTATTACTGTGACATTAGTGTTCTTCTACACAGCCCAACTTCACTCTAAAAAAACACGACTTATTAAAAACAAACACGTTTTCTCCTCCGTAAACCTTCCGACTCCAACATGGCCGCCCTCCGATGACGTCACGGCGTTAGCACGTTAGCTCCTCCGCCATGTCGTCGCTGTAATGCGTGTTTTCTGATAAAAGTTCGTCCTTCGGTCGCTCACACGGCGTCGGACCTTCAACACCTTCATCATCATCATCATCATCCTCGTCACAGCAGGCAGGAGATGGACACCTTGGTGGTGGAGTACGGGACGGCGTCTGGCGAGGGACAAACCACACGTCAGCTGCTTTACGCTCTGGCCAATCAGCTCCGAGTCAGTTTAAATCATTAGAATAGAAACACTTTGTTT